TCTCTCTCTCTCTGTTTTCTCTCTCTAAATTTGGCAAGAAGAAGAAGAAAAAAAAAGAAAAAAAAAGAAAAAAACCTCCAAAACGACGTCGTTTTGGATGGCTACAGGGGTGTGCTGCAGGAAAGGGGCACCGAGGATCTGGATTCCGATGGCGGTGGGGACCAAATCTCCTATTTGGATAAGGAGGCTGAGAGGCCCATTTCTTATACTCCCTCTTCCGGCTATGGGCTTGGGCCTCAGTATTATATGACTAAGCCTAATGAGAATTCAAGTCCTATTCGAGGAGCCTAGTCTGATTTGCGGTTGGTTGGGCCATATTCTGGTATTGAGATTGAAGAGATGAGCCGAAGTTTGAGCCCACCAAAGAGGGTCCTTCTAAACAGCACTGTGGACAAATGTATGTCCAGAATTTTTCAGGATCTTTTCATTAAACGAAAGGCCCAGGTTGACCCAATGAAGTCCTCTCGCCCTCTTAAACTCTTGAAAGGGCCTGATGCTGCAACCATTAGGGCTCAGTCATCCTCATCTTCATGAGGTAAGGGCCTTCATGGTCGCCATGGAAGTGTCTCCAGAGCTCTTAAGAAAGGTCGATCGCGAGCTTAAGATCGATTGCGAGCAGGGGCGACTCCTAGGCTTGGCCAGGGGTGTCACCCGAACCCCCCCTGGCTGAATTTTTATTATTATTATTATATAAATATTAGATTTTAGGAAAAAAATTAGTAATTGAACCCACTAAAATACAACTTTGAACCCATAGTTTTAAATCTTACTCTTTTGAATCTACTATTTGATAGTGTTGATAATGAGCTTATTATGCAACGATTTCAAAATATGAAATCTCGTCATGGTCAATTGTAGAAGCTCGTGTATTAACATGTCTTTTTGCTTAAATAATAGTATCAATATATTGAAATATTTTTGTTTATAATTTTAGAATTTAAATTAATTTGTTGATTTTTTTCTCCATATGTGATATAATGATTAATGTGAATTTTCTGTAAGATATATGGTATTTAAGTTTTTGATTGACACCACTGACAAAAATTTCTAGAGATGCCACTGTTTCTTGTAGACTTTCTTATTCTGAATACAACTTTTTTTCTTTATGAAATCACTTCACTTATTTAATACAGTCCAACATCCCAGAGAGAGAGAGAGAGAGAGAGAGAGAGAGAGAGAGAG